CCGGACACCGGGCCCGGACACCGGACACCGGACTGTCTGGATCGGGATCCGGATGTCCGGTTGGTAACCATGGTTTTTTTTGCCCTTTCGAAACTTTTTTTTTTTTTTTTTTTTTTTTTTTTTTTTTTTTTGCCTGTTTGTTTTTTTTATGTTTGTATTATGATCCTGCATAGTTTGTTCGCAAAAGTTTTGACAACATTGCTTGTAGCGCTGCAGCGAAAAACCCCGAATTTTTGGCCTTCCATTAACCGCTAGTTGAGACTGAAACAAGAAACACAAAGGGCCATCAAATGGCATCTATGTGCGATCAGTCGGCATGATGATCACACTGCCTTTTGCGTCATAGTGGACACAGTGCACAGTTATAAGAACAAGGTCATGTCACCGGCAAAAGCAACCTCCGTACGAAGGCTTGATATTTAGATTACACTGTCAGTAACTTCCGGGGAATCAGTTAGGCTTAAGGATTGTTTTTTTTTATTGTAGGGGGCAAGGGGGCGTTAAGGATTGGGTTGAAGGGTTTAAGCTTTAAGGATTGTCGTTAAGGGTTTAGGGTTTAGGGATTCAAGCTAAGGGTTGGGTTTTAGGGATTTAAGCTAAGGGTTGGGTTTTAGGGATTTTAACCACCACTCTACCCAACACCAAAAAATGGCATTCCAGTGAGTTCAGAGCGGGTCTTTAAGGGGGGGGGCGCCGACCGACGGGCGCAGGCGGGTCCAGTCCTGCAATTTTCACGCGCCAACTTCAGCTATTTTTTGCGCTCAGAAAATCAAGAAAAAAATCTGACAATTTGAGATCCTGTAGATTAGGTCGTGATCTTTCCAGGGAAAATATCAGAAAAATGGGAAAAAAATCATTTAGCCCATGAAATAAATGCCGCGCCAATTCGTGACATTTTCCATTTTTGCCACTGTACAACTTGTGGGCCAATGGGAAAAGTACCCCAATTTCAGTGATTTTTCACGCTCAGAAGAATATGGGGAAAAAATCTGAAAATTGGAGGGTCTGTAGATTTGGTTGTGATCTTTGCAGGAAAATATTAAAAATAAAAATAAAAAAACTGTTTCAACCGCAAAATAGGACGTGGCGGCAATTCATTGCATTTTCCATTGTCGCCACTGTGCCGGTTCTCCACACTATGCTGTCGGTAGCCTCATGAACCTATGCTACCGGTCCCCCGAATTTCCAACGTCGGGTAGAGTGGTGGTTTAAGCTAAGGGTTGGGTTTTGGGACTTAAGGGTTTTTTTTTTTTTTTTTTTTTGGGGGGGGGGGRGGTTGAGGATTGGGTTTAAGGGTTTAGGGTTTGTGAATTTCAGCTAAGAACAGTTGGTGAACATGATCTCGGTCTTGTCTTCACAAAGAATTGGGTATCCAATGGCCCTGCGATAAGGACCAGGTGATGTCACCAGAAAAAGAAACCGCCGTAAAATGGCTTGCGACTCCCAGCAGGGCTTACAGGATGTTCTGGTGCATCAGTTGGGATCCGGATTTAGGATTTAAAGGTTTAGGTTTAAGGGATTTCAATCAAGAATGCTCGGTAAGATGATCTCAGTCGTGTATTCACACAGACTTCCGCATCATACTGCAGTGCTAAAGTTCTGCCCGTTAACAAGCCACAATTTTAGGAAACGTACGGGCCACTACAGGAGCGCCCAAATTCATCCAACTAGAGACGTTTCTACTCTATACTTTTCTGCAACCGATAGCTGGGCCAAGTACTGGTGGTTTAAGGGTTGGGTTTAGGGGCTCCGAGATTTCAGCCAAGAGTAAAACAAGGAGGGCAAATACTCAATTGACTGAAGAATACACATCCTTGATGATACACGAGTAACACGACCCATTGAAAAGGGCTTATCTCTGCCTTGCAAGGGTGACATGCATTATTTGACTGACAAAATCCAGTCAAACAGTGAGCTCTAGTTTATGGACACACAAGCTAAGGTTAAAACTGTGAAGTTGTGAACATGAATGAGGACCAGGACAGGAAGCAAACTGGGACCAAGGCAGGGGAAAAAAATATCGGGTTTTACCAGAGACACGACGGGATCGCTGCAACCTTGTCGTATGGGTAAAAAAAAAAAAAAAAAAGGATTGCTGCAAGCAAGGATGGTGAAAGCAACAGAAGTGGGGACCACCAAGTTGTAGAATCGATCAGCGAACAATTTTCTGGAATAAATTCCGAAGAATAGGGTACAAAGGAACCAATCTGGTGCACCAAGGCCAACAGTAAGAACAAGCTTAGACCAACCTGGTACAAGATGGGACCAGGCTGGGACCAGGCTGGGACCAAGCTGCTGAGACCAAGCTGGAACCAAACTCGTACCAGCCTGGCACCAAGGCAGCTTGGGTCTAACAAGAACAGAAAGCAGTTTGGCTAAGAGCAGGTAGAAGAATGACAATCAAATTACAGCAACACAGGGAATGTGGCAGGAATTTGGAATTTTGGACCAACCTCTACAGCAAAAGACTAACCAATGGCAGAGAGATGAAGCGAAGGATGCAGATAAAGAGGACTAAAGGATGGGAATAGAGCTACGACCATACTGGTACCAATGAAAGCCACCAAGGGGGGGAGCGAAAGGAGCCAAACTGGACCATACTTGGAAAGTAACAAGCTGCACTCGAAGCAGGAGAGGACCATCGTGAGAGCTGAACCAACGGGGAGAAGACCAAGCTGGGACCAATTTGAGGAGAGGGCACAGCTCGTACAAGCTGAGACCAAGCTCGCAGAGGACCAAGCTTGGACCGAACTGGAACCAAGCTGAGACCAAGTTAGGACCAAGCCGAGCTCAGTTGGCAAGATGGGCAACATGGGCAAGCTGCCACCAAACTGTCACCAAGTTGTGACAAGACAAGCTAGAAGATGGTGGGACCGAGATGGGACCGAGATGGGACTAAGATGGGACCAAGATGGTGGGACCAAGATGGTGGGACCAAGGTGGTGGGGCCAAGATGGGACCGAGATGGGACCAATATGGGACCAATATGGGAGCATTATGGGACCAAGATGGTGGTACCAAGATGGGACCACGATGGGACCAAGCTAGGCCCAAGCTGGGAGGAAGAGGATGGGATTAACGTGGAACCAAGGGAGGAGGACAAAGAAGTGAGGGAAAAAAGCTTGGAGAGAACAGGACTGAGGCAATTGAAGAAGACCCCGTGTGGCCGGGTCAGAAAAGAAGGAAGGTGAGGCAGGGCAGGGGAACATGGATAGCAGAGCTGGGTAACAGACTGGGCTGGACCTGAGCAGCAGCATATCAAGCTCCGAGGGTGAAGCGTTATCAAGATAAGGTAATCAATCTGAACCTTCGCCGCATAAGCACAGATTCTTCGTTCCCGTCCATGGAGCAGGGGGCACTTTTCCTATGCGTTGTTCTTACATTTCCAAATCCTCAATTTCCATTTCCAAGCGTGATGCATCCATCTCCCGGCTTTCGACTGATTTTGCGCCTCCACTTTTTTCAGAACTTTTCTTAAATGTCCTTACTCGATCCTCAGGGTTCCTCGGGACACCTTGTGTATTTTGTGCGTATGGAAGCTCAGGATCAGACGTCAGCCCTGGGGGAGTCGATTCAGCAGACGAAGAGGATGGAGACATGTTGTTGGGAGAGGGGTGTTTGTTGGGCGAACCCTGGTTACCCCAGTGCGAGCTGACATGCCGCCGGATGGTCGAGATCTCCGGCATGGGTTGTCCTGAACTCTTCGCCGCAAAAAAGCCACTAAGGAGCCTCTCTTTAGGATCAGGGTTCCATTTCTGAGCAGGCGCGATAGGTGCGGCCGAATTGTTGTTTGCCGTTGGCGCTGTTGTCGTCTCCTCGTGTTGTGCTGGGGCGGCAATCTCCTCGCTGGGAGTTATGGGCCGCACACTATCAGCATCTGTTTGGCCATGACCACCCTGGCGTGCAGGCCGCTGTGAGGCTTCCGCATCATCACTTTTGACAGAGGCGGCAGACGTGAGGTGAGGCTCTCGGTCCGGATCCCGGTCATATACATTGTTCACATTACTGTTGATGTCATCAGCTTCCACTCGTTCGTTGTCGTCACTCTTTGGGGTGCCCCTTGATCCATCTGTATACAAAACAATAAATTAAAATAAAAAATCCATTATTCAATTTTACAATTTTTACTTTGGTTTTGGACACTTTTTGTCCATGTGCAAAGAATGTGGAAACCTCTTCCTGCCGCCCCCCCCTTCCGGCCATAGCCTTATTTAGTATTTACTATTTATCCATAACTGATATGGTTCCTTTCATTCTGAGGAAAATCAGGGCACTTAACAACTCAAAAATCTACCAGACTGTCTGACTGGTAAAACCCGAAACCTGAACCCTAATTTAGTGAAGGGCTTGCGTGACTCTGCCAAATTTCTGACGTAGCCCAGACAGAATGTATCTGCTCGGTGCAGAAAGCCAGGTGCAGACCTTTACTCAACTTACTTCCCGTTTTGTAGGGGTAATTGGGTCATTTTGGCAAAACTTTCACGTGTCTTTGGGATGATGGTGAAGTGCTTTCGAAGAAAAAAAATGACGAAATGGCCTCTCACCTCCCTGCAGGCCTCCAACTTCTTGAAGCCTTATTACCCGAAAACGAAGACCACCAGGAGATGCACTCCCGCCTGTCATCGTCCCACAACCCAAAAAAAAAAAAAAAAAAAGTAAAAGGAGAGAAGAAGAAGAAATGAAGAACTGGTGCCTGTCATGGTTCACTTTCATAGGGATGAGGCATTCAGGTCCTTTTTTTTTTGGGGGGGGGGGGGGGTCCTCCTTTTTTATGTTCTTGGGATTCAGGCCTTTTTGTGTGGGCTGTGAGACTTCCCTATTCGTAACTTTCTAGAAAAATTTAGACCCTCAGTCAGGGCCGTTTTTCGTTTCTTTCCTTTTTCCTTTTCTTCGTGTAGTTGAAATTTGTATTTGAACTGAGGTCTGTAGTGCAGCACCCCTCCAAGGGTTGTGGTGGTTACGAGACTTCGTTCCTGTGGCTGAGGGAGCCGGTTCGAGGCCGTGCGTGCACGGCGGCGCCTGATGCCCTAAAGTACGTTGATCAATGTCTACTGTGAAGGCGCCTGTGGAACCGGCGGGAAGTTGGCCCGCCTTGGAGTGACCGGGTTAAGTAGCGGTGGTGGGTCGCGCGCTGTCCGAGCGGAGTGTGCGTTTGATTGCCATGTCCGTGGTGTGGTGTTGTGTGTGTGGTGTGAGTTCAAGGAAGCTACAGCCCTGGGGGTTGGTGGGCTGGATATCACGACCGGTATCGATCCAGTTTTTATAACACCTCCAAGGGGTTGTGTAGTGGTTACGAGACTTTGTTCCTGTGGCTGAGGGTGGCGGTTCGAGGCCGTCCGTGCACGGCCGGGCCTGATGCCCTAAAGTACTTTGATCGGTACCTACTGTAGTTCACCAGTTCATGCGGTGTACCAACTGAACAGCCGCGGTCTAATATTTTAGCAGGCCCAAAAAATTATCCCAGAGTCCCAGGGGCTTTGGGCTAGCGGTGGTCTATGTATAGCAGTGGTCTACATCTAGCAAGACTCATAGTAGGTCAGCGGAGAGATGAGCCTACTGGTAGTAATGGCAGTAATCATTGGGAAGAGTTCACCATGTAAGGGAAACTGTGGCTGAGAGTAAAATCCAGCTGAGTCTGTAATGCGATGCAGTCATGCTGACGGTTATGACAGGTATTTAAGAAAAGAAAAATTCAAAAATTCAAAACTGTCAGTGTTGGTTTTTCTTCTACAGTTAAGGCAACCAGAGAGGTCCAGAGGGCTTTTCTTTTTCTTTTTCTTTTTCTTTTTCTTTTTCTTTTTTCTTTTTTTTTTCAACCAGAGGGCATGAGCATTACTGTCATCCGAGAAACATCCCAGATTATGGGCCAGATATGCATTACTGTTTTTTTTTGGTTCTTTTTCAAAGCGTGAGGATTGAGCCCTCATTGGGGCCTTGCCGACATGCATATGTTCTGGGCTAAGGCCCCCAGCAAGCCTCATGCCCACCCTAAGTGAAGGCGGGCCAGAATATCCACGAGAGGCCTTTCTTTCAGCATTCCGTGAAATGGGTATCAGACAGTTGCAGCACGCCAGTTGGTTGGAGTGCATCGTGAAGCCCAGACTCCTGCAGAAGCAGTTGAGCCCAGGGCCTCAGTTGGTTGAGTGCTGGGCACAAGCCAGGGGAGGCCGACACATCACACATTGGACGCTGGCCAATCGAAAAACAGAGGTGTGGGGCGCTGCAGGGCAGCAAGCGCCGGCAGCCATAGCCGGGCTGCTGGGCGCAGTGAGAGGTAGGGAGGCGAAGGTGGTCTTCGGGAAGGAGGCACGAGAGCGGGGAGACGGGATATGAGTGGGGAGCAACAGGGGTACTTACCTGGCGTGAAGAGGAGGTCGGCATTGGTGTTGACGTCAACCACGCTGGTATTCAAGTCGTCTGGTTGTGATCATGCTGTAGTTGTAGCTGTAGGGAGTAGTGTAGGTAGGGCGCCAGCGCCGTTCAGAGAGAGAGCTACATTGGATTCTGTTGTTGGTGTGGCCCTACAGGCTGGGACATTGACCTCACAATTCTGCTGTATGGCTCTCATATGAATGGTTTCTTGGTTCCAATGTGCCATCTGCTCTTTGTTTGACTACTTGGACTTCAGCGTGATTTTGCAATTTGGATTTCTGTACTTCGCTCACATTCATGTTCCTTGCAAAAGTCTTTTTTTTTCTTTTTTTTTTTTTGTTCTTTTTACAATGACCAATCCCCTTCTCTCCACCAATCAAGCTCCTTCTCCTGATCTCCACCTCTCTTATTCAACAAAATATATTCAACAATACGAATACTAATAATAACAATGAATGGCTGAGCCAGAGCCAATGTCCAAATCCCTCTCCTACTGCCAGCACAATATGAAGTCCACCATAGCCATGAATCCCATCTTCCTCCTCCTCCGGCATTTACTGGCTATGGAGGACATCAGGGACCAACCCCTGATGTTAGAAAAACAACGCAAAAGCAGCTATGTCCGCTGCCCCTCAGGCTTCCATGCCTGACTCTGCCTTGAAGCCTTCTTGTACCAATGCACCCTAACTAGGGCCTTCCAGCAGCAGCGCCAACCAATAAGACAAGGTTACCTGTTGCGGCTTCGCCCGGGAAAAAATGAAGGGAAAAGGGTGCAAATGAGGGTGGATACGGGTTTGTTGGTCGGGTGTGGGTTTGGGTGGGGTCGGGGTGGTTTTTAGGCTCACCCGTGCATTGTTGTTGACACTGCCGATGGAATGCTGCYGCTGCTTTGTAAGCCTTGGATATATATTTTTCTTTCTTTTTTTCTTGCTTTTTTGTCCTGTCAAACACCTGGTCACAGTTTGCAATCCTTTCAGTTGTGGTTTGCTGGGTCGGTGATTGTCCGGATTTGAACTCCTGTTGTGTGTGTGTCACACTTTGCATACCTGTCTCCCGCTAACCAAAAATATTCTTTCTCAGATGTCAGGAGATCCGCAATTATGCTATCGTGTGGGGGAGAGGGTGTGGGGCGCGCAGTAAGTTAGATCGTTCTCTCTCTCTCTCTCTCTCTCTCTCTCTCTCTCTCTCTCTCTCTCTCTCTCTCTCTCTCTYGCTCTCKCTCTCTCTCGCGCGCGCACTCTCTCTCATGCGCGCGCGTGCTTTTTTTTTTAGAAGGTCTCAATGGACCACGGACCAGTTATGAAACTGATCGGACCAGATACTACACTGGATAGTGTGTGGGGGGGGCGAGGACGTGGTTAGTTAGATTGGGCTCTCTCTCTCTCTCTCTCTCTCTCTCTCTCTCTCTCTCTCTCT